GCACTTAGAAACAGGTGTTAAAACTACTTCTAAGCATGTTTAGGGCTGTAAATATGTACATAATAACCCTTTAAATGTTTCTTGGGTAGTTGAAAATAATTATTAGGTTTTTAAGTGTACTTTTTTTTCACCTGTAAAAATACCATTTTTTAACAGGGCCCCCAGAATATAGGTCCAAACATCTGTTCCTAAGTTGTTCTAAAATTGTCACAGACAGTTATATGCAGTCAGAATATGTTGCTGAGACTGTATTGATGATGCCAATGGCTCCAGATACTAAATTGAAATGGTTTAGAGTATACTTAATAGCAAAAAATCAAAAACTACGGCCCCCAGAATATAGGTATGCAAAAATCGTCCTCAAATACTCCACCTTCATACATTTTGATGATGCCATCTCTTCAGCATATGTTCTTTAACTGTTTCTCATCACTACCCCACATTCCTTAATGCTCAGGGTGACAGAGAAAATGCAGAATCTTGGTCGCTATTTTTTTTTAAAAACCTATATTCTGGGGGCCATATACCCGTAATGAGTAAAATCTTTAATTTTACTAGTTAAAAAGCTTTCATGCACTCATTTAGTAGGGATCTTAACTAAATACTTAAATAAGATTGAAGGAGTGTCCCTAGATATGATTGAGGGGGGCTGTTTTTATCTGTATCAATACAATGTGCACCTCAATGACTGTAAATCAGACATTTTTGGCCGCCAAATTTTTTTAAAGGCCTAACTCAAAATTCTGTCCCAAAACTTAAGGTCATGAGACAATTCTACGTTGATTCTGAAAATTTCATGTGAAAATATTGAAACCCTATTGAGTTCTATTGTTTTGAGCGAAGTCAGTTTGAGATATGGGCGATTTTGTTCATTTTTTGCGATTATTTGAACACAGAATCCACAGTTAGGTAGATATTGAGCTGATAATCATAGAGAATGTGTAATATATGCTTACCTTCCATATAAAGTTGGTTTCATTCAAAAGTATTGATATTTGACCAATTTATGGACCAAAATCGATCAAATTTGGTGCGTATGCCCAAATATGGGCATATGGTTTTTGTTTTTATCCCATAACTCGGCCAATTTTTATCCAATTTTGATAAAACTTGATATGTGGGTTCAGGAGACTAGTAGCTACAAGTAGAGCATCCCAAAGCATGGTTTTGGGCATGTTCAGGGTTTTTGACCAACCTATATTCTGGGGGTCGTATAGACCTATATTCTGGGGGCCCGTAAAATTGTGGTGGCCATAACTTTTTTCCAAATTGTCAGTTTGCAGATGTCTCGATGAAAAGATAGCTTAAAATAATACTTATACTCATACCAGTAGTCTTAATGGCATGTGTTGGACAGATTTTTGTCATGACAATTTTTCGCCATATTTACCCCTCTAGAAAATGACAACATCGTTTAAATCTTTCGCTGTCATGACCAAATATACCAAAATACCTCATGTAGGTCCAAAATTTTTATCCAGAAACATTAGTTACATGTTTTACTCCAACATAGCAGTAACAGATCCCATTAGTATCGCTTATCTTGGTTAGAACTGTATCCACTAACATGACCTATATTTTGGGGGCCACCTATATTCTGGGGGCCATATACCCGTACACTATATATTACTATACTATTATGTACACTATATATTACTATACTATTATGTACACTATATATTACTATACTATTATTTACACTATATAAATTACCATATATCTGCCCCTCCCTCCTCTCACCGCACTGAAAGAAGTACAGCATACAATGACATGTCTCCAAGGAAGAGGCACAATAAGATAGAGAGTATAGAGCAATTGTGTACTTGATACGCATCATGCGCTCTCCTTATTGAGTATCTTGTGTAATGTGCAGTGTGCATGTTAATCTTCAGTATTAAAGTTAAATAGGTTAGTTTCTGGTAATATACAAATTATCAGAATATCAATATCTTCTCCCCAGCACTGATAAGATCGTGTTGTACGGACAGTCTATTGGCACAGTGCCCACGATAGACCTCGCCTCAAGGTACGAGGTGAGGGCTGCTATTCTCCACTCCCCCCTCGCCAGTGGACTGAGGGTCGCATGCCCTGATACTAAGAAAACTTGGTGTTTCGACGTTTTCCCCAGTATCGAGAAAATAGGTGAGGTTATTATTTCCCCAGTATTGAGAAAATAGGTGAGGTTATTATTTCCCAAGTATATAGAGAAAATAGGTGAGATTATTATTTCCCCAGTATATAGAGAAAATAGGTGAGATTATTATTTCCCCAGTATATAGAGAAAATAGGTGAGATTATTATTTCCCCCTAGTATATTGAGAAAATAGGTGAGATTATTATTTCCCCAGTATAGAGAAAATAGGTGAGGTTATTATTTCCCCCTAGTATATTGAGAAAATAGGTGAGGTTATTATTTCCCAAGTATATAGAGAAAATAGGTGAGATTATTATTTCCCCAGTATATAGAGAAAATAGGTGAGATTATTATTTCCCCAGTATAGAGAAAATAGGTGAGGTTATTATTTCCCCAGTATATAGAGAAAATAGGTGAGATTATTATTTCCCCAGTATTGAGAAAATAGGTGAGATTATTATTTCCCCAGTATTGAGAAAATAGGTGAGATTATTATTTCCCCAGTATAGATAAAATAGGTGAGGTTATTATTTCCCCAGTATAGAGAAAATAGGTGAGATTATTATTTCCCCAGTATATAGAGAAAATAGGTGAGATTATTATTTCCCCAGTATAGAGAAAATAGGTGAGATTATTATTTCCCCAGTATATAGAGAAAATAGGTGAGATTATTATTTCCCCAGTATAGAGAAAATAGGTGAGATTATTATTTCCCCAGTATATAGAGAAAATAGGTGAGATTATTATTTCCCCAGTATAGATAAAATAGGTGAGATTATTATTTCCCCAGTATAGAGAAAATAGGTGAGATTATTATTTCCCCAGTATAGAGAAAATAGGTGAGATTATTATTTCTTCATTTTCCTCATTGTTGTATATCTTTAGAATAATTCGATTATTTGTTGATATTGTTTATTGAGATTTGAACTATCCATTAATAGTGCACATGCAAATAACCATGACATTTCAGCGCACGTGCAAGCCCCCACCTTGATAATACACGGTACAGAAGATGAAGTGATAGACTTCTCAGCGGGGCTGCAGTTGTACGAGCGGTGCCCCAAACCAGTGGACCCACTGTGGGTCGAGGGAGCTGGTCACAATGACATTGAGCTCTACGCTGTATACCTGGACAGACTCAAATCTTCCTGGAAAAGGACCTGGCCAACAAATGAGATAAGGCAGGGTGTTGTCATGGTGATTACAGCGTAGTCTTGGTAACACCCCTCTGACATGTGTTGTCACCATGGCAACACTATACTGTGGTCTCATGGTGAGCGCCGCCCTGGGTCACCAGCTCTCTTCAAATATACAATCTCAGATTTTCAGAATTGATTTTATTCAGACTCCTCCTCCATGTTAATCGGTATCTTTATCATTATATAATAGTGTGTCATCACTTGCTTTAGTTTAGCGTCCTTATTTTCCCGCTCCAAATCCAATGTGGTTATTTTGCTAAGCGTTCTTTGAATATATGAATAGTTATATTAAGTTAACAGCTGTTTATAACATCAAGTGAGACTGGGAGCCTCCGGGGAGATTAATATTATTGATGATCTTGTAACTCTCTCATGAGGGTCATGGTGTTTTAACTCAGAGTTGAACTCAGAGTTATATTGGAAGCTTTTAGCGCGAGACAGTCCTGGGAGTGCTATGTGAGAGTAGTGTAACTAGTAGTGTAACCATGGTAACTGAGAGTGCTATGTGAGAGTAGACGAGTAGTGTAACTAGTAGTGTAACCATGGTAACTGAGAGTACCGTGCTATGTGTAAACTTTGTGTCTTTTCTCTTACAACCATCATCGTTCAAGACCCATTTTTAGCTGAAGGGAATTTAATGTTCAGTGTTTCAACTCTCAATCAAGTTTGTCATGTAACCATGGTAACGACTCTTTTAAATATTAATGAGGTAAAATAAAAGTTCGACAAGTAGACTGAAGACTCCCATAATTTACAGAAGTCAATTTAAGATTCTGAGGAAATTGGGAGGTCAGAGAACATTAACTCTGAAAATTAAAATTAAAGTTTGGGAGTCTGATTTAAGTTTCTGTAACCATGGTAACTCTGCGCGAGTATTGCTTGCGGAGTGTTTCTGTTGTCTATATCCCGGACCATTGTGTACCCTATATTATAATACATGAAGTAAGATGTACCTCCTATCCCGGTACTGTACCCGATACTGTACCGGTACTGTACCTGGTACTGTACCCTGATGAGATGTCTGTTGTAAACGTTGGTAACATAGGCGGGACCAGACTAGCAATATAATTGCTGTAATGACAAGTATAATGTTAGAGTAATTCGTCGATTTAATGTTATAATATTTTGTACCGAGTCATTAAATAATTAGTCATCATTATCTTACTATTTTGAACTGGAATTTAATTTCGAGTAATTTAAACAAGAAGGGCACGTTGTTATGCATGGTCACAATTTAAGTGGGGGTATTGAATTTAACAATTCGTTTGATTAATATTTTGTAAATATTGAATGCATTGAATACGCGCTAAATTACCTGTAAATAATGGATCATTGAGCGACCTTCATTGAAGAATCTTTAAATGATTTTAAAATGTCGGATGAAATTAAGCATGTGATATCTCAAAGTAATGCAGAGTGCCAGCATTTATGTAATTAACAAAACTTGTTAAAATAATGATTTGGTCCATTATGAAGCATCAATAGATTTGAAATTTACATTTTACCGCTAAATGAATCAACAAGAAGATATAATATGTTTTGTGTATTGTGAATGCACGGAAAAGAGATTGATTTTAAAAGAGAGACAAGATCATTATGATGCTGGAGATATTAAACCTCTCTGCATACCGGGAGTTGTAAGAGGATGTTTGTGTTGTTGATCTCTGTCAATGATTTAAATGATATTTTCCTAAATTTTGTGTCGGTTAAATGTTAGGGAAAGGTCAGTGTTGCATTGTCCTAATTGTAATGCTACTTCGACGAGAATACTATATGATATATTTAAGTTTCAATTGTTTTAAATAAATTATAGCGTTTAACTTGACTTACACATCCCGCTGAGAATTGAAACTGTTACGTGGGAGCTGAGAAATTACGAATAGTGAAATTAACCTCCATATTTGCAGATTAAAGATCAAAAAGTGTGAAATGAGTTCATTTCACAATTAATTCTCCTGTCATTTCTAGTTTTCCCGTCATTTCTACCTCTTAATATCGTATTATAACCTTTCCGTGGGAACAAGCAGAACCTCTCCAGGATTATATCGGAGACTACAAATTAAATAAGTGAGTCTAGTAGTGTAACCATGGTAACTAGTTAGTGAGTGTCTCACTATCTCACTGTCTGGTTGAGTAGAAATGGAAATATAATTATAATAATATCACCCTCTCTCAGATGATGAACTCACTGGTCATTACATAAAGCATATTAACTTATATTATTGGACCACATAACCGTAGCTCGACAGTTTGCGCTTATAAGGTCAAATCTGTTAAAATTCATTAGAATTTAGAGCTTTTAAAACGTCTTTGAACCCCTTAAAAGTGACAGCTCCGCGTACAAATCCTTCTACATCAGATGATCAGACACTAGGTTTACCTAAGTAAAGGTATACGTATTATGAAGGAGTAAGTATATCTACTAGTGAATCCTTCTAATCCTTCAAATTCTGAGGAAATAACCCGACCAGTCAAAATGAGGGAATATAAGTGGAACAGGAACAACCAAACTCGTGAATATTATGAATATGGTTTGAAATGTGTATACACATTGTTACATGTTACAACATGATTCTAATTCAGCAGAATGTCACACTGCTACTATCCAAACAAGCGTTTGAGCACGTCTTCGAGCGAACAACACGTGATCTCTGTTAGATGGAAGTCTAACTTGTTACTCCTTCATAATACTTGTAGTTGTGGATAAACAACCGTTACTTACTCCCTTACTTGTTTTCTAGTCGAACACAAGTAACTTTATCGTTTAAGCAGACCAGGTTTATTTACTGTATGCAACATGCGTGCATTATGCATAATGCATACTGCATACTGCATATATTGCATAACCAGTTGTCCATCGCTGCTTATCAAGCCATACAAATATTAATTGTAGATATATTGATGATGGAGTGATAGTTGGCAGCTAATAATATATAAATTTACCAGATGATGGAGTTTTTATAGAAAATCTACTGTCTACAATAAAATATTACAACGTTAGTACGTGATATTTATAAATTATAACATAATATTAAGTTAGTCTACATACCAAATTAGTCTACATATTATTTAAACATTTTAAACGTATTACATCATGATTATATTCTGATTATATTCTGATATTAGGTTAACAATATTCGTGGTATTACGATGTAACTCTTATATTATTATTAATTATGCTAAAGTTGAATATTATCCTCAGCCTTCTCAACATACAATCTGCCATCCTCTCTGATATAATACAGTGTGATCAAATAAAATATTATGAAGGAGTAGGTCTAAAAATAGCTGCACTTTACGTGATTAGTTAACATAATATTACAGTTTTATTTTACGCTAAATACTTTCACAAACACAGCTGTATACATTGTGTAACGTGTATACATAGCTTAGCGTGTACACGATGTACACACGATGTACACTAAAACACGGTGTATCCAACACTGCACTACATTATATCATGTGTGTTAATAATCACACCAGTTCCTTTTCTCCAGCAATATAAATATACAATTTAAATGAAAAGTTAAATATGGTATTTGTAATGGTATTTGTGCGTAGTGAGCCCTGGTATGTGCAGGAATTCACTGAATTAGCATCACCATAGTCAGAGGTGATATCTCAGTGTAGTAGTTATAGTAGTAGTAGTCCTGTTGTCCACTACTACAGCACGTATCCCAGGAATGCAGTGACTTAGAGAATGTGAAGTATGTGGAGTTTAAACTGGAATTCACACACTCAGTAATTATCCGGTTTCTTGGTTTAGACTCTAGAGAGTAACTCTAGAGAGCTGTAGAAATGTTTGATAAACTATTTACTCCTTGTGCGGGGTAGCTATCAGAATACATAGAAATCAGAAGAAACATTATTTTGGTATATTCAGTTCTTTTCTACTGACCAGTGACCAGTGCAGTGACCATTGCTGACCAGTTACCAGTGCTATGATATCTCGTATCACTGACCAGTGCTATTTTAAGTTCAGAGAAATTGGAAAACTGAGCAAATTTCCAAACTGGGCTCATCATTTTATCAGAGACCACAATTTTAAAGAGTAGTTTATGGTAACTAATAGTGTAACTATGGTAACTAGTAGTGTAACTATGGTAACTAGTAGTGTAACTATGGTAACTGCCACAGTGGTAACCTTACAAAGTATTGATAACAGAGCTAACAGAGACGGAGAGGAAGCCAATCTATGGTATAACTCAGCATTCCACTAAATTTCATAGTTCAGTAATACATTATCAGCAAGTATAATGCCGGATCTCTCCTTGAATGGAATCAGACACTGGTCTCTAAATTCTACAAATCCAGCTTTGTATTGAATGGAATCAGACACTGGTCTCTAAATTCTACAAATCCAGCTGTGTATTGAATGGAATGTAAAATTACATTATTCAGCGAAAGTCCGTCAAGTGTAGAGAACGGTTGTCAAGTGTTGCAAGAAACACTCATCATTCTTTAGAGTTACAAGAGTTACAAGAGTTACAAGAGTTACAAGAGTACGAGTTCTTTATTGGGGGGGGGGGGGGGGGGGGGGGGGGGGGGGGTGTCACGTCCGTCTATGTCCGCTTGTCTCATAGAATCCAAAAAGGACAGGACATAGGCGGACATAGGCGGACATAGGCGGACATAGGCGGACATAGACGGACATAGGCGGACATAGACGGACATAGGCGGACATAGGCGGACATTAATGGACACCTAAATTGCTAAATAAAATGTTCAATTTTTGCTGTTATAGGGGGATCATGTTTTTTGTCCGTTCAATACCCTATATTTTCAAAACGGACAAAAAATAGTGCGGCAAAAACGGACAAAAATGGACAAAAACGGACAAAAATGGAAATAACATTTAGATGCTTCCTCCTCCTACTCTTCCTCCTCCTCCCCCTGGGTCTTCCTGATCTTCCTCAGTCCTCTTCCTCCTCCCCTCCCCAGTCCTCCTCCTCCTCCTAAGTCCTCCTCCTGGGTCCTCCTCCTGGGTCCTCCTCCTCCTCTTCATCCTCCTCCTCTTCCTCCTCAGTCCTCAGTCCTCCTCCTCATCCTTCTCCTCAGTCCTCCATCCTCCTCCTCAGTCCTCCCCCAGTCCCCCTCCTCCTCCTCCTATTCAGTCCTCCTCCTCCTCCTCCTCCTTCTCAGTCCTCCTCAGTCCTGATCCTCCTCCTCCTCCTCCTCCTCTTCCCTTTCAGTCATCCTCCTCAGCCATCCTCCTCAGTCCTCCTCCTCCTGGGTCCTCCTCCTCCTCTTCATCCTCCTCTTCCTCCTCGGTCCTCAGTCCTCCTCCTCCTGGGTCCTCCTCCTCATCCTTCTCATCAGTCCTCCTCCTCCCCAGTCCTCTCCCAGTCCCCCTCCTTCTCCTCCTCCTATTCAGTCCTCCTCCTCCTCCTCCTCAGTTCTCCTCAGTCATCCTCCTCAGTCATCCTCCTCAGCCATCCTCCCCAGCCATCCTCCTCAGCCATCCTCCTCAGTACTCCTCAGTCCTCCTCCTTCTCAGTCATCGTCAGTTCCTTCTGAGTCCTCCTCCTGAGTCCTCCTCCTCCTCCCTCTCAGTCATCCTCCTCAGTCATCCTCCTCAGCCATCCTCCCCAGCCATCCTCCTCAGCCATCCTCCTCAGTACTCCTCAGTCCTCCTCCTTCTCAGTCATCCTCCTCAGTACTCCTCAGTCCTCCTCCTTCTCAGTCATCGTCAGTTCCTTCTGAGTCCTCCTCCCCAGTCCTCTTCCTCCTCCCCTCCTCAGTCCTCCTCCTACTCTTCCTCCTCGTCCTCAGTCCTCCTCATCAGTCCTCAACAGTTCTCCTCCTCCCCAGTCCTCCTCCTCCTCCTGGGGCCTTTTCCTGGGTCCTCCTCCTCCTGGGTCCTCCTCCTCCTGGGTCCTCCTTCTCCTCCTCAGTCCTTCTCCTCCTCCTCCTCAGTCCTCTTCCTCCTCTTCCTCCTCCTCCTCCCTCTCAGTCATCCTCCTCAGCCATCCTCCTCAGCCATCCTCCTGAGTCCTCCTCCTTCTCAGTCCTCCTGAGTCCTCCTCCTGAGTCCTCCTCCTCCTGAGTCATCCTCCTCAGTTCTCCTCCTCCTCCTCCTAGGTCCTCCTTCTGGGTCCTCCTCCTCCTCCTCCTGGGTCTTCCTGATCCTTCTCCTCCCTCTCAGTCATCCTCCTCAGTCATCCTCCTCAGTCATCCTCCTCAGCCATCCTCCTCAGCCATCCTTCTCAGTACTCTTCAGTACTCTTCAGTCCTCAAAATGTTTGTCCGCTAATGTCCACCAATGTCCGCTAATGTCCACCAATGTCCATCCAAGTCCGCCAATGTCCGTCCGGGTCCGCCAATGTCCGTCCGAGTCCGCCAATGTCCGTCCGAGTCCGCCAATGTCCGTCCAAGTCCGCCAATGTCCGTCCGTGTCCGCCAATGTCCCAAAAAACACGTCCGTTGTCTCATAGAATCCAAAAAGGACAGGACATAGGCGGACATAGACGGACATGACACCCCCCCCTTTATTGGATCACACTAAACTGGTACTCATTGCAACATCTCGCTTCCAACCAGCACGGCTCACTAGTAACCACCCCTGCAGATTTCGTCGATTTCAGGTGCCGTCGGCACCATAAAAATTAAAAGCAAACATACATTTTTTCCCCTAAAATCGGACGCTTTCTGCGCAAAAAATTGACCTCAACAGAAAAAATTAAACATGGCTTCAAATCCAAATTTGAACCAGAGATTTTTCACTTTCTCTCGATAAACTCAATTTTCAACCCAAAATAAAGTCTCAAAGGGGTAAATTACTCAGGTCAGGATTGTAGGCAATGATTA